GTCAGGGTCCGTTTGGCCGCCGTACTTCCACATCGGCCGCGTCCTCTCCGCCAGCGAAGCAACCCGACGGCAGAAGAGGGTGTGGAACACTGGCATCCCATCAAGGCCACGCCGCACGAGCTTCTGGAGCTCCACCTCAATAATCTCCACCTTCTTCTACCGGCTGGCGGGGCCCCATGACCAGCTTTCCTACCTCTCTGGCCTCCCACCGGTGAAAGGCGGGAACGGCGCCTCCGCTGGGTTCCTGATGTAGAACCATTCCCCGTGTCACCCCCGATTAGAATCGCAGGGGGTGTACACGGGGTATGAGCCCAACATGCTCGGTTTCTTCTACAGCGCGAAGCCCCCCACCGGCGCAATCATGAGCGGCTTCCCATCCGACAAAGCTCGCCCAGAAAACATCCACCGGAAGAAGTCTACGTGCGGCTCCATCCCAAGGAAGGCCTCGCACACGGTGACGAAGCCAGCAATATGCAGCACCCCAATCGGATTGAGGTGCTGCAGCTCCAAACCCCACTCATCGAGGAGCCCACGCAGGAACCAGTGCGCGGGGTATCCTAACCCGCGCTCATGAAAGGCGAGGAAGGAAACAACCTCACTGGCCCGTGGTTGCAGGAAATCCTCCCTCCTAGGAGCCATCTAGTGCGCCACCTCCTTCGGCGGCAGAAACCCCTTCTCGGCGAAGGCAGCCAGCACCGACTCCCTCACAATGGATGACCTCCAGCTAGACATTTTGCTCTGGGTTCGCAAATGGATCTATGAGTTTTTCTCCTCTCCCTCGCTCTCTCCTTTTCTCTCCTAGGAACCATCGTGGCACTTAGATGCTCTTGGCGAGAAGGAAGAAAGAGAAGAGACGGCAGATGAGGAATATGCGAAGGAACGAGGCGAAAGCCCTCTCCCTTCTCCTACTTAAAGAAAGAGGCACAACAGTTGGGAAAAGCGCAGCGATCGGGGAAAGGCGAAACGATGGGGGCGAATAACCCTCTTCCTTCCCCCATTCAATGCGGATAGGATACGATGGGACGCGCCCTGACCGATGAGACACACCCTGCCCGACGGAACAGCACCTGGTCAGACAGGACGTGGCCTAGGTATGGCCCACCACTACCGCGCACTGGGCGCAAGAAACAAGGTGCCACTGCGCGCAGGCGGCCCTCCACCTTCCCAGCCGAGACTTGGAAAGGCCCAAACAACGGGATCTCCGCCAGGAGAGACCAATGGGCTTCCTAAGTTGATCAAACATCTCAGGCAAACAGCGAGAGATAGGTAAGGAGCAGAGGGACGCCCATGTGGGCCATGCTGACTCCATCACGAACGACGAGCGTGGATCCTGGTCGGACATATCCGATGGGAGCTCCTCAAACCCCATCACTCGAGTCAAGGTAACGTTACCACCCCCCACTATTTCTTTATATAAACATTCATTCATCCATGCACGCATTCATTCATTCCATACATCCAAAGCATTGCATATGCAGTCAAATGCATCACAACGCTCCGTGTTGCATCACGAAGCGGTAGTTGCCTCATTCAACATGAGCAACGACCGACTGGGGTTCGAAGGCTAGCCCACAAAGGGCTCGAGGCCGCCTCGCATCAAACAGAGCCAGGGGAGAAAACGCAGATGAGCCTCCAGCAGCCCTCGCCTAGTCTGCCCTGAAACAGATAGGGTCATCTCAACCTTCTTGTTAGATCCTAACCACGCCAAACCCATAGAATCTCTATCGACCTAGGCATCTGCCGGGTTGCAGGTTAAGGAGCAGTGGAGTGCCACATGAGGGATATGCCGACCTCGTCACGAATGACGGACCCGGACTTCACTCAAACGTGCCCATTAGCAAGCTCACCGAGCGCGTCACTCGAGCCATCGAGGCAAGCGACATTAGCTCAGCCCCTCCGATTGCGAGAAATCACGGATGGGGTAACGCACAAAACTCAAACCGACCCCAACCAAGACCAATGGGGTTCAGGGGCTCAAGACACCTAAACACCTTGGCTGTGCCTAGATCCACGACTCCTACTTGCCCGATCCCTCGGCGCTCCCGACGCCTGGATCTGCGAGTCCGTCTTGTCCGATCCCATGGCACGCCCGACGCCTGGATCCGCAAGTCCATCTCATCCGATCCCTTGGCACGCCCGAACACCTTGGTTAGCGACTCTGACTCGCCTAATCCCTGGATCCGTGACTCTGATTTGCCTGAAACCTCGACACGCCCGACGCCTCGGCAGACAAAACTCCGTCTCGCCCTGTCCCTCGGCCGCAACCAAACGCCTAGGACTACGCTCCAGGAAACGATGGGCCAGAAACTGAAAACGGAGGCTACACCCACCAAAGTGCACACACTCACACCCGCTAACAAAAAACCCAGACGATTCTACCTGAATCGCCGGGGGCTACACCCACGGGTGTGCTCGCGCGTACCCGCTGATGAAACAAACTTCCACCGCTGGCAACACGAAACCCCCCCCCCAAACGATTCTACCTGAATCACCCGGGGGCTCGAGGGCTACACCCGCGGGTGCGCTCACGCACGCACAAGGCGTCAAGACAAAAATACCTCAAACGATTCTACCCGAATCGCCTGGGGCTCCTGTTGGGTTCATAAACCCAGGGTCTCTCATGGACCGACTTTCAACAAAGGCTCGGCCCAGCAGACAATGTTGCAAACAACGCACAACTCCTGGGCCGACCTAAATACCTAAAATGATAGGTCAGAAGGATGATCCAATCTCCGTCCTGAAGACCTAGCCGAGGAGGAACGACGCCCGCTTCCGACTCCGGCCCGCCTCTCCGACCGGAAGGCCTCAATAAAGAGGAACAGTGCTCGCCTCTGACTCCGGCTCACCTTCGGATGGCATCTCCGACCGGAAGGCCTAGCCAAACCCCACTTTCAACTTTGACCCGTGTCTCCAACCGGGGATGCGTCAAACCCCTGCTTACAGCTCTTCTCCGACTGGCGCAATCAGAGTCGACTGGGACCAACCGACCGGAGACGCCCGCTCGGTGAGGACCAGGAAACGGACGGAGAAAGTAAGACATGACACTCAAGTCAACAGCAATACCAAGGACCGTACCCTGTACACTTGTAGGACAGTACCCTGCGATCTTCTTGGCATGACAGAACCCAAGCAGTGTTGTAGGCGCCGATATTTTTTCTACAGTGTTGTGGGCGCCATCAACTCCCATACCAGACAAACATAGTAAGGCTCCCCCCACATGCCTCTAGACATCAACTGTGTTGTGGGCGCCGGTATTTACCGTACCAGACGAACATGGTAAAAACCCCTGCATGCCTCTCGACATCAACAGTATAGCGGGCACCGACGTCTGTCATACCAGAAGAAGACGCAACCTCCCACATGCATCTGACATTAACAGTGTTATGGACGCCTATAATCATCTTGTACCTGACGGCGTAGGCAACAAGACTTAGTAGCATGCGTACTCTCTCACACACACTTTAAGGCCGTCATCTTCACCTATAAAAGGGGATGCGCTCTCTCCCAACAGATAGATCCCTCAGTTCACTTACATTGATTCACCCTCTGTAACTTTAGACACTCTAAAGTTATATAGAGCACACGCTCGAACACTTAGCACATAGCGGAGCTCCCGTCACTCTCGGTTCTTCAGACCAGAGTCCGACCGGACCTCTTGTATCCTCATCTTTCTTCCTTCCGTTTGTAACCCCACAGCAAACTTCGAGCACCTGGGCTCAGGAATAAAGTCTCCAACCGACTTAAACTGGACGTAGGGCACGTTGCCTGAACCAGTATAAACCCTGTTTCATTGAGTGCTAGGCCACCTTCGATCACAACGTACAGCAAAACTATAAATATTTACGTGTTGGTCATTTTCTGCACCGACACATGCTCATCCATCCTCTGCCCACGCCCACACTGGGACACACCACCACACCCGCCATGGCGCCTACCCCCGCACCCTCCGTCCCACCTCCTCAAGGCCTCCACCATTGCACACGCCACACCAGCAGGTCCCTCCCTCCCGCTTCACTCCGCACGCGCCATCATCACCGGTCCGGCCATGCTGTCAAAGAACCCACCCCGGGGCGAAATGGAGAGCAAAAGTACGCGGGCCCACAGGAGCGAGACGGAGCCGAGTGAGTTTGTCTCCAACACGTGCCCAAACTTAAAATGGGTCACCTATAGTTTTCAATGGACTTCCCATATGAAAGATCTATTTTGGGTGTCAGGATAAGTATAACTTAAATTTGAGTATCATTTCTCTTGTAGATCCATTTGCTAAAATGGGCGAAATGAAGAAGACAAAAATATATATATATATATATGAAATCCACGACAGAGCTAACGCAAACGGAGCGATAGTGAGTTTGTCTCCAGACACATGCCCAAACTTCTCCAAAATGGGTCACCTATAGTTTTCAATGGACTTCCCATATGAAAGATCTATTTTGGGTGTCAGGATAAATATAACTTAAATTTGAGTATTATTTCTCTTGTAGATCCATTTGCTGAAATGGTTTTGTTTTAGGTGTTGTTATTGAAGAAGACAAAATATATATATATATATATATATATATATATATATATATATATGAAATCCTACGATGCTGCCTAAATATACGAAATGAGTGTTATTTTAGGTAACGGGAACTGCTCAGGAGTCACCGAGTCAGGACCCGTTTGGAGGTGTTCCGCTGAGGAGTGTTTGGTACCTAAAAGTACTATGGGTAACGTATTTTTTCCTCACCGGAACGATGCAAGATCCAAATGAGTGTTACCACCCCAAACCCAAAGTCACCGAGCCAGCCAGCCCCACGCGTACTCCTCACCGGAACGATGCAAGATCCAACGGCACATACCACCCCAAACCCAAAGCCAGCCAGCCAGGCTCCGTCTCTGCATCCTAGGCCTAGGGCACCCAAACCCGGAGCCGTCGTCCCCGCTCCCCAGGTTGCCAATCCGCGCGCAGCCAAACCCAAACCCTCCTCCCTCCCGGCTCCCGACGGGCGACGGCGATGGCCGCCGCGACAGAGAAGACGGCCGAGGACATCCGCCGCGAGCTCCAGGAGCTCCAGCGCCAGCACCGCGAGGTACATCTCTTTCTCTGTCCAGCGTATCTCGAAGCCTCGAGTCCCCGGGCCGTCTGCCCTGACCCCCTTTCTCGTCCCCCCCTCGCAGATCACCGAGCGCCTGCGCGACCCCCGTGGCCTTCGCCGCGGCGCCCCCGGCCCTGGTCCTGGACCTGGGGGCCCCCGCCCGCTTCGCGGCTTCGTGAGACCCGTACGCTTCTCACCTGCACTTCCTTCACGCCTCCTTCGTTTTCCTTAATCTTTTTTGTGTGCCCATAACACTTTTTTTTTCTTCTTCCAATGTTTCTGATGTAGCCTGTGGGTGCGGAATCGGGGGATCAGCCTCCGCAGAAGCGTCGGTTGCTATCGGCCGTAGTTAAGGTATCGTCTTCCCCCCGCCCCCCCCCTTTCCTTTAATCTCGGTTTTGTTTGCACAATTTGTAATGGTCTGTTTGTCGAAACCCTAAAATTATGTCTCTTTGCTTGACCTAACAAATGGAGGTGGATGGCGCTGAAAATAACGAGGAAGACACAAAGGATGCGGATGCGGTGGGGCATGATGCGCCTTCAGGTGTCACTGAAGGCAGTGACAGGAGGGGTTTCAACAATGGCGGGTTCAGAAGGGATGGTAACCTGCGGATGCAGAGGGTGGTGAGTACTGATTAGAGCAAAGTGTGGATTTATTGTGGTTTTGCTATTCATTGGGTTATATGTGCTTTTGTGGAGCTTACCTTGCTTCGTTTGATTATAGGACTATAATTCGCTGCCAGAGCCAGCTCCAAGGGAGCTTCCCAGGAATGAGGACCCGAATTTGGTGAGAAGGAATAAGAGGATGCTGGGGCAGCTTCTTGTCGGTACATTAGAGGTAAAGTAATTCTGTGCATAATGATGAATCTGTACTCCTGCAAGAATACATATTGACCTAATGTGGTAGTTCATTTCTATTTCCATCTCTAGTATTCCTTAAAAACAGTTCATTGGCTTTAACTTGGCCTGTTGGCCAGCGTTAACAAACCTATCAGCTGAGTATCGACTTAACAAAATCTAAATCCATTTAGTCTCTTGTTCCCGCAATAATACATTTATTCCTGCAAATTTGGCTGCCAATGATATGTACTTGTTCCAATGTAAGCAACTTGCATTGACATGTTGCTGCCTAGCATTATTTTAAATAGCACAGGTGGCCCAATTTCCAGTATTGCCTATCTTTGGATGTTGGGTGTGCCAGTACCATTGCTTGCTCAACTGTCTGGATGTGTACATCACTGTTTGTGATAATTTTGTTTATCTTATTCTACTCATGATTGCAATGCAGAAATTTCAACAAGAGGATAAAAAGTTATCCAACTCTGAGGCTTTTCTGCGCAGATCAGAGACTCAGCGAAAGGTTTGCTCACTTTTCCCATTCATATCTCAAAGTTAATGACTGTTATTCAGTAGGGGCTACTTCTACTCTGTAATAAGTGCTTTTGTATTGTGATTTTCGTATGTGCATAATCTATGATAACAGATTTGGTATTCCTATGGGCACAGCTACTTGTGAAATTTTGTACAGGATGCATCTGGCATTTGTTTCTGAAGAAGCAAAAATGATTTAAGACATATATAATATCTTACAGGATAACAGGAATGCCAATTTTGATGTTGAAATTCATTGATGGTATGGAATAACAAAGAAGGAACTTGTTAAAGAATGGGACCTTGATATTCTGCATGCTCCATACTTGGGTATACTTAGGACAATGCATCATGGAAACGATCTTTAATGATTGTGATTGTACCTACATAGAGAGCACACAGTCAGATAATCTTTAGTATTTTCAAGGAAATCTGTGTTTTCTTTAAGTTGTCGCATCTGACATATGTAACTGGGTGCTATAGATATTGAGATTATTTGGATCACTAAATTCCATTTAAACATATCATGGATACTGAAATAATTGATTGGTTTTAGGCTGAGCAAAAGGTTCGTGAAGAAAGTGAAAGGCTGCGACAGCAGGAACGTGAGCAAATTGCAGAGAAGCGTAAGCGTGATATGGTAAGTTCATGACTTGTATTCATCTGTTTACAACTACACATTTCAATTGATATTTACTTTGCAATCATTAAATCCTTGTTGCTCTTTGTTAGACGCTTCGCGCACGTGTAGCTGCTAAGGCAGAAGAAAAGAGGTTGGAGCTGTTGTACATTCAATGGGCTGGGCATCATAAAAGGCTGTCCAATTTCTTAAGGTAACTTTGCTGCTTTGCATCATTCTTCACTTTGACTTAGACCCAAAAATTGGAATCCTCATTTTCTTCACTTAAGCTGTTTCACATGTTTATGTAGTTATTCTACTTTCTTGTTTGATGGATCTGTTATTTTCTGCATTCTGCAGGTTATTTTTATTTCTGGTCCAAAAGTGTCCATATTGACAATTGACAATTAAATTGAGGGAAGATACATTCTAATTGTATGCAGACTTGATGTTTGATGACTATTAGTGTAATCTATTTACATTGTATACTGATGAACAATATTTGTTCCATGTTTGACTCCAATCTCATTATCCCCTTATGTATGGCAGGACAAAAACTGAACCACCTATTTACTACATGCCAACTAAACCAATTATTGATGATCCAGCCATCGTTGAGCAGAACAAGGAAATGGTACATCCTAGTATCCTACTCAAGAGCTTATAACTTGTGCATACTCATGTACTTGTTCCTGTTTCATGAACCATTGTTTTTGTTGATGAATCTAACTTGTGAAAAACATTACAGGCATTTGAAGAATGGAAGTCTATGCGCAGGGCTGAGCTGACTCAGTTCCAAAAGCAAGTTGAGGAGCAATATCTCTCAAATGTGGAGAGGCAGTTGGAGAGGATCCAGAATGCGCGGAATGCTCGGAAGGCTAATGGGCCTGCTAACATGCAAGAAATGGACAAGGAGCTGGACACACACAGGGCAGAGCATGGTCCGAAGACTAGGCGAGTTTCTGAGGAGGGCGGCAATGATGATGACGAAGATGCAGAGGACATGGCTGCGGAAGACGACGAGCTGATGGATGAAGTTCTGGGCATCAACGATGGAATCAATGAGGACCCATCCAAGCCGTCCGAAGAAGCCACTATTGAAGGCGGTGAGCCTGCACCCGAGGAAGCACAATAGGATTCTTTGTTCACACAAACTAGGCACACATAGGCGTACCATTCCGTATGCTTAGTTGCCGTGTTGTTGGGAACTGCTTGTACGTGTATTTTTGGTAGACGTTCCCCACTGGTCAGGCTCTGTTTTGGCTTTTTGATGTTGAGATCATACAATTTTCGATTATTATCTTATAATTGTTGTAAACATACTATACTTGCTACCTTGATTTGGTCGTTGGTGGCTTCAGACGTTTATTGCCAGCTACGCCGTGCTGCTGCCACTGTTCTAGCTCAGATGCACGTTTTCTCTCGTGAATCATCTGTCGTTCTTCACCCTTGTGTGCGAATGCAAAACTCGCCCCCGCACCGACTGCACCCAATCACAGCTGGAATGCTGGATCTATTTATGTTGGCACCCGCCTCACACACCACTCGTCGGTAAGAGCCGTGTTTCTCTCTTATCGCCAAATAGACGTCACACACCACTTGTCGGAAGCCATGATTTATAGCTCGTTCGGTTCCGACTTCTTACTCCTTCGGTACTGTAGGCGGAGCCAGAAGGAGTCTGGCCAAATAGGGCCTAAGCCCTGGCACTATTAAATCTTCTCCGAACACTAACCCTCATCTAACCTGTCTTATTCTTTTCCGTTGAATCTACCATCATCCGTAAACTCTATCTATCTGTTGAATCCACATCGATCGTAAACTCTTATTATTCGCTGTTATTTAGGCGCCATTTGAGAGTATGCGTCGTACATGAATCATGAATGCTGGATGTGTGGTCATCGATCGTAAACTCTTACTCCGTATTATTCACTGTTATTTAGGCGCCATTTGAGAGTATGCGTCGTACAGTCATCGTGGTAACTGAAACACCGCATTTATGGCCATTCTAAAATTATGTGCAATCAATTTGCAATGTTTTACCGTGCATAGGTGGACCACCCCTTGACAACCAGCAAAACCAACAAAATGAACATGACATCCCAGGTAAATACTCGCTCTGTTCCAAATTACTCCGTACAAGACATTTTGCCTTTTTTTTTACTTTAAGAAACAATGCAAAGCAAAAACTATATATATCTAGGAAGACCAAAACATCATATAATTTGTAATTTGAAATGAAGAGTGTAACAAATAACACTTGGAGGTGCATAGAAGCCGTCGTGAATAACTGAGAACATGTTAACTTTTTACAAGAAAAATGAGGGCAGAAGTGCTACTATGTATTATTTAAGCTCTGTTTCAACATTGATTTCAAATAGGGACTTATCAGTGGCCAGTACAAAGATTTTCCTCTCACAAGAAACTGAAGACCACACCGGGCTTTATCAAATTTAGAAACCAACCAACGAACAGACTGTCTACTCAGTCTTGTTCAGGGAAAACACTCTCAAGGAATTTTACAAATCGTTTTGAATACGAATTCGGATCAACAGCTGATATTGAAAGGGGGTCGAACTTGAGTGATTTGACTGCATGCTCGACCCTTTTTGACATATTGTACTCCTGTAATATGTCTATAATACCAAGGTAAAGAACAACATCGTACTCCTCAATGGTATTTGGGTTTTCAAGTTCCGTGTTCATGTCCTCATGCACTTTCCGAGCTCGAGCTGGCATATTCACCCCTAACTGCACACGAAACCTGAAAGCACGATACAGAATACGTACACACGAATCAGCAACATAATTCATCTTGTGTAAGGCGTAAGAATGCAGAATTCATCTTCCTTAGGGCTAATAGCTACCCAAGTATTTGACCATGTTTTTCATTTAAATCAGCCATTACATTTTAGAGTTAACGGACGGTCTGAGTTCCGGCTGGCTAGTGGAAAGTTTCTCCCCTCGCCAGTAAACCCCAGGAGACTCCCTAATTAATATAGTACGTGTTCTAGTACTGCATTGCAGCATCTAGTGTGAAGCTGGAACATCAAATGTTTTGGCAAAACTGAAGAAAATGTACCGTCCGGTGCCTGGCAAAACAAGATCAACTTCTTCAGAACCAGCTTCCGATGCTCTAACCATGCTTCCTCTTATGTGGGAACCACCAACTGTAGTGCCTGGCTCATGAGCAACAAGCAAAAATCCCTTCCAGGAACTTTTTTCCTCATATTGCAACAGTTCACAATCTGGTCAAGGCAAAAAGCAGCAGTTTATTACTAGGTAACACAGTCAAAAGCTGAAGGTAAGCAACCAGTTATTCAATGCCCATTGCCGATAGAATAGAACTCACAACATAGAATGTAAAGGAACATAGCATAAATAGAAGGGAAAATTTGTTTATAGCGCTTGGGTAAACCAGTTTTCCTTGGCAATTCTGCTCTATATTTCACTCTTAGATTACCTATATTTTTGCTGTGACCCTTTTTTTGCCATTTTTGGATCAGCTGCGTAAGTTGGCTGTGATACCATTTTCAAAGTATCAAGATTTTTAGTAGTGTGAATAGCACTGATACTTAAGGTGGTCCTTTTGTTTTTTTAAAAGGATATCATGGTCATAGCAATAGTGTTTTGTCATGATTTTTTCAGTTATAAGAGAAAAGTACAAAAAAAACCAGCTTAAGGTTGGGTTCATGCAATGTTACAATTACAATGAATACTATACCTGGAATTCCGCATCTTTCAAGACTGCTCTGTTGTGATGAAGATGTCTTCAGGTTATAGGGAGCTCTAAAATGGATCCCCAAGAGCATGCTATAATCAATGATAGACTGGGATTCCAAGAACATACAATCAAGTGATATTTGCCTGAAAATGGTCCGCAGAAACGTTTAGAAGCCACCATTTATCAAACCATATGAGAGTATAAAACATTTGATAGTCACTGATCTTGGCCTAAAGTAGAAATCTATCATAAGTATATTACTTTCTACAGTTTGTATTTATTATTATTTTTACTTTATTGTATTTTTTATTGTGAGAGTACTTGTGACTTCATAAATAATGTCAGATACTTTCTGTAAAAAAGGGTCAGACACTGAAGACTAGTAGAAATACAAGTATATACTACCAGAAAAAGGTGTTTAGAAAAACAAAGGGAGCAGTTGATCATCAGCTTACCTGAAAAGTGCGTCCCGCCATGGTTTATCCACATGAAAAACATATGAAAGGTCAAGGTCCTTCAGTGTAGTGTTCTCATTTATATTTTGCTTTTTTGTTGATCGGCCTTGTGTAGAACCCTTCAAGTCATACTTACGATGAATTCGCAGCTCAGTGCAGAACATATTTCCCATCACAACAAAGCGAACCTGTATAAAACCATAAAAAACTATCACATATGACATGCATTTACAGACTAAATAAGAATAATGCAACAAGAATGTGATTGTGCACCTTTCTGCCGCCTTTCAGAGTAATCCTGTGCACGCCAAAAAATTTTGTAATGAGCGTATTATCATAAGCTCTGACATGACTGTAATATTTTGGAAGCATCTTCAACAGTATCTGCAGCATGTATTACATCAAACCAATCTGCAGTAGGCATAACTTATCACTCAACAACGGTGTAAATTATTCTTATCCTATGATTTTTTTCCATATGAATGTTAAGTTAACTAATATTAGGACCATAAATCTTATGTGCAACAAATTTTTCCTGGCTGTAAATATATCAACAACTCATCCACAGACTAAGAACAAGTAAAACATTGCTTAAAAAAAAGAACAAGTAAAACACAGCACACTCTCATAGAAAGCCTTCGAGGCGATACCTTCAGCTCAGCTTTTCTCAAGGTTTTTATGACAAAACGTTCATCCTGTGAAAGATAGAAAATACTGCCACTTTTCCCGGGTGAAGAAAGCTCTTTCAGACTGTCATCACCACATATGGACATCATGTAATCTGCAGCATCAATGTGGAACATTTCTCGAAGATTCCTGAAATCAATGAGTCAATTAGCTACAACAAAAAGATGAATTGAAGAATCTGTAGAAAAATCCAAGCCAGTGTGAATTCCTCTATAATATGTATGATCTCTTATTAACTGTTGAGCTATAACCAATTAAACAATATTTAAATAGGAAAACATAGTAAAAACAGAGAAACATAACTTTCAGGGAAAAAAATCAAGTTGAGGCTTTGAGCGATGCTATTATGGTTATGGCAGACTCGTTCTAAATCAGACAAACTGATTCAGAGGTAATCATAAGATTCTTGCTAGTTTCTAATTTATTCTTCTGCAAGTAAAAACATAGGGAATCTAACCATCACATTAGCTACTCTTTTGTTAAACAAATCAGCCACGTCGCATTCGTTCAGTTGATACTTGATATCTTCTATAGTTAATTAGACAGGTGAATCATAATAGACCAACATAATTAGACATAGATGAACCATAGTTTTAATATCACAATCAACAATCAACACTACATCCCCCCCCCCACCCACCCACCCCCCCACAAAAAAAAAAAAGAATCACATTCAGCACTAACAGAACAATATGCATTCGAGAAAAAACAACAGAGGAGTATGAAAATGCTAAATTCTTATACAATTAGCAATCAGGAAAGAGACATACCGGAATACCATAGGGCAATAATCCTTCCAAAAGAAATTGACAGAGTGGTGTGGAGGCATATACTGCGAGCCTTCAGTAGGGAAGTACATTCTTATCCGTGCTCGAGGTCCAAAATCATTTGAACGGACTTCACGCAAAGGCACAGGGGTGATTTTACCTACCGTATACCTGGATAGCAATATCACGGGGTGGTTAGAAAGGACTGCACATAGCTGAATAGCAACAGGGAACTAGTTACCGAAGTGTGGACATTCACTAGATTAATTTACTGAGGTATACCATGTTTGAATTTAGTATAGTTATACAATTCCCTAAATAGATTTTTTTTAACACAATGGCAAGAGCTCTGCCTTTCAATTAAGTAGAATGGAATTGACCTGGTTTATAAGGGAAACCAGGCCTGAAAACCATACAGACACACGGTTTATCAGATGGAAAACCGGCAAAACCCCCACCATGACAGCCCAGACGACAATCCCTAGGCAACCCACTTACACAACAATGACACCCGACGAAGCCCACCACACGTCATCATTGCCGAGTTTACCACAAGCACCAGTAAGCAGCTCCAGCTTCCCACGCTGAACATCAGCCAAGGACCTAACACACCCGATGGAGCCCACCACACGTCATCGTTGCCGAGCTTACCACAAGCAGCAATAAGCAGCTCCGACTTCCCACGGTGAACATCAGCCAGGGACCCTGACACGCCGCCACATACTTGCAACAAGCCCTGACCTCCCAAGAAGTGAACGCGGCGTGTCATCGTTGCCGAGCTTCGTTGCACCCAAAACAAAACAGCTTCGAGATATCACAGGGACAAACAAACAATATAGTAAATTTAGGAGATATAAGGGTGTGTGCAACCCATGCCCCAAAGAGGAGCTAACGATCATTAGTCTCTCAAAACCATGACGCATACCATTGCAGGCAGAGGATCTAAGAATTGGTTTTGTGGGGAAAGAAAAGTTTCTAATTCCAAAGTGTAAGTGGAATTCTCCCCACTGTTCCATTCATTGATCAAGAGTTTATAAAGGAGTTACATGACTCTTCCGCTACTAAGACTCTTCATTCTAGACTCCACAAATTCTAGGCTATTCATATTCTAATACCCTCCCGCAGTCTCAACTGGGAGATGATCGAACATTGAGACTGGATCGAAAGTTGAGGAAGACAGCAGTTGGTAATCCCTTAGTAAATATGTCGGCATACTGAAGTAGCCTGAGTATCATCATCGGCCATGGGCACGACAATGGAGAGGAGAGGGTGACGAGTGGAGAGAAAGGGTTAGGGAGAGGAATGGTTCCTAGCTGATACCATGTAAGTGGAATTCTCCCCACTGTTCCATTCATTGATCAAGAGTTTATAAAGGAGTTACATGACTCTTCCACTACTAAGACTGTTCACTCTAGACTCTTCCACTACTAAGACTCTTCATTCTAGACTCCACAAATTCTAGGCTATTCATATTCTAATAAAAAGCAATCCAGGATTTAGCTCCAAGAGAATAAGCAAAGCAAAAGTAGCACCTGTGTCATGCTGGGCACATGATAAATGGGGCTGAGTGTTGTTGTGAGGAAACCTATTACTTGATTTAGTATGGGAATGATCGCTCACTTTTTGAGAGGAGCTACGGATTCACCAAATTTTGCTAAGCTTGGGTATACTACTGGAGACTTCCTACATGGCCTTTTTAGATCTGGAACCGCGTACATGCCCTAAGAGTTTGGAGTACAATTAGTACAGGCAGCGTCACAAATATGCCATGGCAACTATTTCTGTATGTAGATAGTGGCACATGATATCGAACATCACAAATTTTCATCCTAAAGAAAGAAATCATAGTTTTAGCATATCAAAATTATTCTTGAAAAGAGACTCTTTCACTTGTCATTCAAATAATGGGAGGTTTCCAATAGGTTAATCAAAATTTTCACTACCCACTGCTAATAATTCTTACATAAGTAATACTTTGCTCATAAATAATGTGAGTTCTGTGTCTGAAAGCTATGCATATGCTTCTTTCAGATGTAGCATATGTGTGTGGAGACTGGAGAGTACAACTTCCTAAATAGATACACAGTACAAATGTAATGATACAGAAAAAGAAAACAAGTACAAGAATCTATTCTTGACAAAAATGAATTAAGATGACATATAATGGAAGACATCAATACAATTAAGCACTTACCTAATGCCAAGTTGCAAATTAAGCATTAGGTAATAGCTCCTGTGGCCTTTGAAAATAGTCTCCATGGGACCTCCAGCTTGCTTTTGCCAGGTATGCTCCTGTGTTTTACCGCTATCCAGCATTCCGGAATCATGGCATTTTGGCTTTTCCGAGATAAGTACTCCTTGTACATATTCTCTTTCATAGACCAATACTTTATCAACTCCACTATCTTGGACACAATTATCAGTTGCCAAGGGCTCAGTAGATGAATCTTGTGACAAATTGTTTCCAGAATTATCATAAAAAACTGGTGTGGTGCCATTTGAAATACGTCTGGGCCAATGGAAAAGGCTGCATAGTCTCCATGTGTTGCAAAGTTTTTGGAATAAAAATAATAAGCCACTTTTGATATTTTCATTACCAGAGCTCGAAGAACTTGAAATATCGTGATCTGATACACACTCAGACACTTCAAGGTTACAAGGCATTTTACTTCCTGGTTGATAAAACATACCATGTCCATCCTTGAGTCCCCTGTCCCATGTACCAATATAACACGCTCCTGATGCATATTTACAAAAACCTTTTCCATGAGCCAGTCCATTAAGCCAATTACAGTCAAGAGTATCGCCATTTGTCCATTGCATCACTCCTCTGCCATTCATTTTACCAGATTTCCAGCCTCCAATGTAGATGTTGCCATCAACCCACGTATATTTACCAAATCCATCTGGCAAGCCCTCGTTCCATAAACCTTCATAAGTATCACCGATGGCATAAACCATTGTGCCCATTCCATGTTTTTTGTTCATCCTCCAAGCACCTTTATAAACAGATCCATCAACTCCTTTGAAAGTGCCTGTTCCATCAATGAAACCTCCACAGAGATCTCCATCATATGAAGCACCTGAAGGCCACTGAATTACTCCTCTACCAGTCATCTTGCTTGTATCCCACTCGCCATAATAAAGAGTTCCATCTGTCCACATATACTTTCCAAATCCATGAGGAACTAAACCAGCAAAGTTGCCAACATAGATGTCACCATTTGGAAGGGTATTCCCCCTAAACAGAAAGACAAGATAAGGCTACCAGCACTCACAATTTATACTAGAATGTCTATATAGTAGTGCTTCCAAGATTTCTGACAACCAAATTGCAAAATATTTTTTTATAAGAATCTTGAAGTAGCACAGTTACCAGTGTTTAGTTGTTGTTGTTGTTTTTTGAAAAACACTGAATAGCCTTCCATTAGACATTAGAACTAGAACAAAAGAAAAGGCATGTTTCACGGTAAAGATGAGATAAGCACACCTCTGGGTGTTCCCTGCGCTTGTCTCTGTACCGGCCATGCCAACGTTTACCAGGACGGCTCAAAAACCACAAAATTCATTCAGCAAGATCTGAAACAAGATTGAAAAGGTTGTTATACACGATGGACTGAAAATAAACGCTCACTGAAAGGAAATACAGACTTGATCCCAACAAGATTCACTTCTGTTGGATTTCCACTGGAATTAACCCTCGTGCCAGATTACCTCAACTGAATCATTACCATGAAAGTAACTTCAAATATATTATACATATAATACAAATAAAAAAGCGTGGTCTTGAACACAGAATTTCAGCGAGCATGGCACGTGGTGGGTCTCCCTTCAGTAGAAACTGACAACTCATGAACTGACAAAACATTATCTCTACGTGGAAAAGATGCTTTTGAAAAAACACTTTAATCACATAGCTTGGAAACTTGTAAGAACTGCTCGAATTCCACCAATCCTATCCTAGGTGCTTGAGTTTCCGCGCAACTGGTTGCCCAGGCAAGAGCATCTCTAAGCAAAGCGAAGCAAGCAACCATGGACAGGTCTCGCAAGCATCATACCTCATAAGCAGCAGCAGCAGCCGGAGCTCATCGCCACCGCAGGAGATGGCGCGGAGCCAACCACGTATCCCATCCAACGCCCGGGCCTCAGGATTCAGGAAGAGGATCACAGCTCCAGGTAGAGAACAGAAGAGAGCGGAGGGAGGGAGGGAGCTGGAGAGGAGGGGAAAGGGAGCAGGAGATCGAGGGGGTCAGACAGGCAGGGCGAAGGGGACTGGGGCCCGGTGGGGGAGGGAAGGGGAGGAGAAGGACGGGAACCACCACCACGTTGCCCCCCGCTAGTGGCCGAGCTGGCGCCGACCAATCCCAGCGCGCGCCACGCCCCTACCCGTCCCCGAGATTTTTTTTTTTCTCCTCCGTTTCCCTCGTTCAGTCGTTCCCCCGTCGCCTGACGCCGAAACTCCCCGCCATTGGGGTAAATTCCCTCGGTATCTCGGCCTTACGGCGGCGGCGTCGATCATGGAAAGCGACGGGACGCAGGCGCGGGCGGCTCGATCCGCCTGCCAGGTGGGGAAAATGTTGGCAGCGCGGGCGCGCAGTGCCGAGCGGCCGTGCGGGGCGGGGGTGAGCCGTGCGCAGACGAGAGGATTCCCGTCCCGTGCTTTTACTGTGTCCGGGGCTCCGGCAGGGCGCATGTGGGCGGTCGCGGCAGCGCGGGGCGGGTGGCGGGGTGGGGTGGGCTGGGCGGTGGTGAGCCCGTGAGCGAGCCGAGCCCGCGCGGACGAGAGGATTCCCGTGCGCGCATGTGGGCAGGCGGGGGCCCGGTCACTTTCGGCGGCGCGCAGTTGTTCGCTCGCGTCGAAGGAGGTTGGAGCCTTTTTCTTGTTGCTGGCGGCTTGGCTTCGAGTTGCCGGTGGGCGTGCGAGCGAGTTCGGTCACGGCGGCAGCGGCAGCGGCGGCGGCTGACGGCGACGGGAAATTTAATCGGGGAGTGTGATTCGGAGTGTTGATGGCCATGTGAGTAATTGAGTATTCGTCGGCGATCATCTTTCTTGGCAGTTGGCACAGGAGAGCGACGTAGCCACGTAGGATTCCTTGGACATTCCTGTTTTTATCTGGGTGCGCTGATCCATTGGACCGCGTTTTTCTTACGGAGGCATGAAAAATGGTTGACTTCGACGGTAGTAAAAGGTACAACTGTAAAAGCACCGGAGGTCTATTATTACGCGTGTTTATTTGAGCAATGGCTTATAAACTGGCATATATGATATGAAATCATGGGTGGTGTGGTAAAACACCACCTTTTAAATGCTAGAATTCAAGGGCATCCAGCGTGGATGATAAAAGTGACTAAGTGAGCCTATATTCAATTCTTGTTTTCTAAAAGTTGTAGTTTCCTGTGAGATTACAATAGTTAAATTCTTGCGAAATGGTCATCACAAATTCTACCCAGCTACAATCTTACATCTAGTCGTAGGATCGCAAAATCATCTCATAAGAAATCAATCAATCATATGATTGCTATCCTGGGCTTATTTGATTGGAGAAAGTTTTTTTTTTTGCCTAAGTCAGACAAATATGGAGAGGTTATGTATAGTTGATGTCTGGGCTCTAAAATGTCAAAGACAGAAAAACATAATTATTTGTGTTCTTTTTTATGAATATGTTAAGACACTATGATTCATTGTGCAACAAATATTTCACTTAGCCTTTTACCAATCTATTCGAAATTATAAGTCGTTAGCATTTTACTAAGCCAAACTTATATAATTCATAGAAACATTATATCAACACCTACAATACCAAACAAATGCAATATCAAAATATATTTCATAGGAAGCGATATCTAATGTAAAAAGTTAAAAGGCCTTATGATTTGGAAAGAGGGAGTATCACTTTATTCAAATTTAAAAAACATAATTTTAAAAAGTGCATAAGTTTTATTAGAGAATATAAAAAAGTATGCATATAGTCGAAGACAAAAAAAAATAAGGTCGGAACTTACCGCCGAGGGCAGAGGTAGTCTTGTTTACTGGGGTCAGCTGACCTAAAATTTCTGATTTTCATTGAAAAAATGCTGTTCATAGCAGCTAGTGACTGGTCATCTTTTTGGCCTACCTTCGTCCCTACGTACAACCCGATTGGATGTGATTTTTCATGCTGTGGTTGTAGTCGCATGATCTTATAGATACTCTCTCCGTACCTATCTAAGTGTCACCATGAAAATCATATCAATCAAACTTTTTTTTACTATTTTTATAGAAAATATTAGCATTATTTTTATTTTCAAATAAATTTATTATATATCTAATAATATTAGTTATGTACTATAAATACTAATATTTTATTTATATATTTAGTTAAAATTATTGACTTCTAAAAAAATGAAAACGGGACAGAGGGAGTACATTATAAGTCAGTGTAGACACAGTGCTTAACTACTCCATATATCTGAGGTCATGTTTAAATATAATTGTCGGGGACCAAATACTGGGATACCCATAGAGATGGAGCTAATAACCATCAAAAGTTGATGCTTCCGAACAGACAAGAACGCAACTACACTTCTTGCACATACGACCAAGAAGGTTGGTGCGCCTCGCTTGAACCCCAAAGGGTCGGGCTCACGCTCGCCCGACATCCGAGGGAGTGGCTTTGCCTCTCGCTCGACGCTCGAGGGTGGCTCACTCTCGTCCGAGGCGTCGAGGGGTAGGCTCGCCTAAACGACGACTGCACTCGCTCCTTCATGATGACGAGCACGGGTAAGACATGACACTCAAGTCAACCGCGCCCGAGGGTTGGAGGACCATACCACCATGCATCCTTCATGATGACGAGCACGAAAAAGTACCATCATATCCTATAGCTGAGGATATGATATGGCCGGGACGGAGCTTAAGCCCTTCCGGGCATGGCGGGGCCCGAATAGTGTTGTAGGCGCCGACTTTTGTCTTACAAATGTTGTGGGCGCCGCCATCGGCCCCCTCGGACGCGGATCCCGACATAAGCATACGACAACCACTACGATCCGGGAGGGAGATCACAACATCTGATGCGGATGTATGGTCACTTCCCGTCTCGTCTCCCGTAGAGGGTCGCGGCTCTGCATCCGGTGCGCCTTGCGCCGCCGCCGAGACAGATGGGACGTGACCACTTCTTCGAACAAAAAGCTAGAGCATGGCCCTATTAAGATCGTGAACATGTTATCTCACGACATCGCCCGCCATATCAACGGGGCTAGCTCAGAGGAAAAAGAAGACCCGACACCTTCGAATGACCTTCTTGGCCTCTGGTTTTTCTTCTTTCCCCCATCTGTAACCCCTGCTCCCCCTTAATCTATAAAAGGGAAGGCATGGCACCCCACTAAGGGGGGGATCAATTCGACACACCACGCACCACATAATACACAGCTGAGCAGCAACCGAGCTCTCAGCGCCTTTTCGACCTTTTCATCAGAGACCTGGGACCTGTCCCTCTCTCGACCGTTTGTACCCCCTACTACGAATATTTTTCAGTGCTAATAACACGAGCAGCAGTAAACTGGATGTATGGACATTCTGTCCGAACCAGTATAAACCTTATGTCTTTTAGCACACCATCCGAGTCTAACGCGCAACAAATATAAATTTAGTAGTTGGTGTTTATTCAAAACACCGACAGTTGGCGCGCCAGGTAGGGGACCTTTGCATGTTTCGATGTTAAACATCAGGCCACGGATGGCTAGCCACGGTATCAGTTGGGTCCTAGGCGCACACATGGGCTTCCGAAACCTAGACTTCATCAACACGATGGGAGGAGAGTTGGCATTGGCTCACGCCACCATCCAATCTCTCCCCTCCATCAGCCTCAACCACGAGAGGCTTAAGCGCCAGCTCGGTGTCTCCCTTGGACCCCAGCAGTCCAGGGAGGACCAGCACCGCCTCACCCTTTCCGACGCCAACGACATGGCATGGTTTTTAGGAGGAGGATCCCTCTCTCTAGAACACCACATACGGAGCGCCCCGACAGCGCTTCCATTCGGTCTCCGCAACACTACTGCGGCGACCGTTAGCCACCTAGTGGCACGACGCATGGTCCTGCCGCCCGCGAACAACGAGTTCGTGGGGGTAATCGAACACGTCATGGAATCTCTCCACAACCTCCTCACAGAGGAGTCAGGGTTGTCCTCTGGCTCTGACTCCAGCAGGGGAAGTCATCACCTCTCCCGAGAATGCTTCATGATGGGTACCCCCGAGAGACACGTTGAAAGTGTCCCTGCGGAGGAGGCTACCCCGGCGGGCAACCTCGGCGACGAAACCAAAGGGGAGACAGCGGCCCCACCTCGCATGAGGGTGGAGCAGCTGAAAGCCCGACAGCGGGAGATCGAGGAAGCACAACTCCAGCTTGTGCAGGAATGCGTGGAGCTCGATCGAGAGATCGATCGCCGCAGAGACGGTGGGTGAGCACGAGCCATGGCCCATGATGTAAACCAAAGGATCATCATCGATGATGAAGCCCTTCCTCGCTTCGCCCGGACGAGCCAGAACATCG